TCATCCTCCTCCACACCAGGTATCAGAGAGAGCTTTTGAAAATGTAGTCGCACATCTGCTTCACTCACTACCAAGAGCTTAGTGGGAAATCCAAATATCTTACCATAGAATTCAAGACATTGCTCGTCCATCTCCCAGGAATTCCTGTCTCACATCATCTACCCTAGCCTCCTCAAGATGCCTCTCTATCTGAAAACCAGCGTTTCCCCTACCTGGTACTATCTCCTCTACTTTTTCTATTGTTTAATTCTAACCATCCTCCAAGCTAACATATTACCTCATTTCTAGATTCTATCACTTTTTTTAATTTCTCTTTCTGAACTTCTCATATTCTGTTCCAATTATATATTCTCCTATGTTTCTTGTTTACCTATTATTCCTTCTTTGTGAATACACTCTGGTATACAATGTTTATAAACATTGGTGAGTGGGTGGATGACTTAGTTAAATGAGTCAATAGGAAACCAAAAATCCTAACTATCAGAGAAAAAGTAAATATGATTGGCCGACAAAAGATTGGATAGATATGTGTGAAAAAGAGAGAGACAGGGAGAGGGGAAAGAGATAGAATGCTTGCACAGGTAGGTAAATAAATAGTAATAGATGGGAAGGGAGATGATAAATGGATGGATCCATGCATGCATAGATGGATGGATGGTTAGATGACAGATAGGTAGATAGATAGATAGATAGATAGATAGATCAATGATAGACAGACAGATAGAATACATACATATACAGGTAATGGATATTGACTTGGTAGGTAGGCCAGATATTCTAGAACTTAAATACTCCTCTTATATACCTCTAATGACTCATACATTCTTCTCCCTAAAAAGAAGGATAAATACTTATTTTTCTCTCAAGTTAAATCTTGCAGAGTCTTTTGGATAAAAGAACTGGGGAGCAAATAATAGATGACTCACTCTCTTTTCTGCTAATGAAACTGTGTTAGCATACTGCAGCTTGTAGGATATTCCGAAAGAAAATAGAGGCCAAGCTCATGCAGCTGTACATATTGGAAGATTCTGACTTAAGCGAGTGTTTCCTTCCCCAAAACACCCACAGTTTCACAACCCACATTTCAGCAACAAACCAAATAGAAGTTTTTAAATCCTTATTGAGGTTCCTATCAAGCTACACTAGCTTCCCATCAGCAATTAATTTAATTATATATTAGAATCACATATTTGTGTACCTCTTATTGCTCACTACTGTAATAAGGAGACCACTAGTTAGTTCCCAGTCACTTAGCACCAAAATAATCACACAGAAACTGTATTATTTAAATCACTGCTTGGCCCATTAGCTCTAACTTCTTATTGGCTAACTCTTACACCTTAATTTAACCCATTTCTAGTAACCTGTTTATCACCATGTGGCTGTGGCTTACTGGCAAGATTCCAACCAGTGTCTGTCTCTGGCAGGGATGCATGGCTTCTCTCTGAATCGCCTCCTTTCTCCCTGCATTCAATTTAGTTTTCCCTGCCTTCCTAAGTTCTGCCCTGCTATAGATCCAAAGCAGTTTCTTTATTAATTAACCAATCATATTCACAGAATACAGAGGGGAATCCCACATCACTCTACCTCTCAAATATGCCCTAAAAACAAACATTTCAGTAATGAAAGATTCTGTAGACATCCTGATTGCCATGTTCCATTGCTGTAGAAAACCAGCAAAAGTACAAGCATTTACAAGAACTGAACCTTTACTCTCTGGGAACCAGTTGGGCACGGTACATGCACTGTGCCTCCTGACCCTCACAACAGCTCCACAAAGAAGGCAGTAGTGTTCGTAGCTCACACTGTACAGGTGATGGCATCAGTTCCCAGAGAGGTCGGGCAGCTGAGGCAAGGCCACAGCTCTTCAACAGTGAATCTGTGCAATCTGTGTAGCGTCAAATGTGCTCCCACACGGCTCTAAGCAATTAAAGAAGCAAAAATGCATCCGTCTTCTTTGAGCCGAATAAAACGATTTTTCACTTGCTACTTTTAAAAAGTACAATCTGTAGAACCAGCTTAATGGCGCACACCTGTAATCCCGACATGCAGGAGGAGCAGACAAGAGGAGACAGAGTTTGAGGTTATCAAGCAGGACTTTATTTCAAAAGAGAAATGAAGAAGGAAATGGGAAGGGAGGAAGGAAGGAATAAAATGAAAAGGAAAAAGGAAGTCGGCCCATACACCTATTTTTCCTAGCCTGCCAGGTTTTCCTTCACTGTTCTGGAAAAAGAAGGAAGAAGGAAGCACGGCAGTTTAACTAGCTGCTTGTATTCCCTCCCCAGCCTACAGTACCTCCAACCACAGCCTTCTCTGCTTTCAAGGAGCCTTAACAAAAAGGTCATGAATTTGAGGAAGAGCAGGGAGGAGTATATAAGGTTTGGAGGGAAAAGGAGAAGGGAGAAATGTGTGGTTGTATTATAATCTCAAGAAATCCATCACCCCCTCCCCCGCCAGGGAATCCCGCAGAAGAGGAAACAGAAAGATAGTAAGAGACAGAGAAGGTTTAGGTCACCTAGGAGACAAGGCCCTCTGAATCAACAGGATCAATGCATGTATGAACTCACAGAGACCCAAGCTGCATGCGCAGGGCCTACACCAGCCTGTGCCAGATGGAGCCCTGGAGCTGAAGGGAGAAGTGGACACTTGGCCCCATCGCTAACCCAGAAGCTAGCTCCAGTTGATAACACACTGCAAATTTTGTTTTCTCCATAGCAATCTCACTGGAGAAACAAACCACTCTTAAGGGTAGACCCATGCCCAGCAGCGAATAGCCAACAGAAAACAAACTCAATGCCATCTGTGGGGATTCTTTGACTCATAATCTCATGCCAAGTCTGTTTTAAATCTTATATATTTAATTTTTGTTCATTTTATCTCATTCATATTTTTCTCTCTTTTTGCCCTATGGGTCATCTTCGTGTGTCTGTGTGTGTGTGTGTGTGTGTGTCTGTGTGTCTGTGTGTGTGTATGTGTGTGTGTACATATATATGTATATATATCTTCTTACAGTTTAATGTTTTTATGGGATTCTTGAGTGAACAAACAAGTGGGTCTACATCTGTATCTGTTTCTCGTGCCTTTTCTTGAACTCTTTTCCTTATGTTTGTTTGTTTTGTCCTATTCCAGTGTGTTTGTTCTTGTTTAATCTTGTTAAATTATATTTCATCTTATTATTATCCCTTAGGAGCCCATTTTTTTCTGAGAAACAGAAAGGGAATGGATCTAGAAGGGAGGGGGGAGTGGGAAGGAACCGGGAAGAGCAGAGGGAGAGGAAATCACAAGCATAATATATTTTATGAGAAAAAAAAACTATTCTCAATAAAAAGAAAAATAAATAGAATAAAATTATAATCTCAAAATTAAAAGAAAACTCATAATCAAAATATTAAGCATGGGAAGCTGAAAACATGGTTTGTGGTTAGGAGCACTGGCTGCTCTTCCAGATGACACAGGGTCAAACCCCAGCAATTACCTGGCAGTTCTCAATCATCTGTAACTTCAGTTCCAGGGGATCCAGTGCCCTCTTCAGGCCTACATGGGCACCAGGTATGCATGTGATGCACAGACATGCATTCAGTCAAAACACCCACACACAGAATAAAAGAATAACAATAATCATGTTAAACATAGAGTTACCAGATTAACCATCAGTTCTGTTCCTACATATCTGCTTAACAGACCTGAAAGCATATCTTTTTTTTAAAAAATGCTTGTAAACACATAGAAACTATATTCATAATAGCTAAAGTGAAGGAAAAACCCAATGACCATAGACTTATGAGTGGATAAACAAAACATCAAGCGTCATGTGTATAGATGAACTTCTGTAGAATGGTTGTGCCGCGAAATCATTAAGCTAAGCAAAAGAAAACAGACTTCAAAGGCCACATGTGTGACTCCGTGATTGTTAATCCTCATTTTCAACTTGGTCAGGTTGAGAATCACCTAGAAGATACACCTCTGGCTGTCTCCAGAAAGGGTCTGTCTTAGTTAGGGTTTGCTATGGCTGTGAAGAGACACCATGACCACAGCAACTCTTATAAAGAAAACTTTTAGTTGAGGGTGGGTCGCTTACAGTTTCAGAGGTGAGATCCATTATGATCATGAAGGGGAGCATGGCAACAGGCTGATGTGGTGCTGGAGTTGAGAGTGTGACATCTTGCAGGCAACAGGAAGTCAACTGACTATTACAACGAAGGAAGCTTGAGAAAAAGAAACCTCAAAGCCCGCCCCCACAGTGACACACTTCCTCCGACAAGATCATGGTTCCTAATAGTGCCACTGCCTTTTTTCTTCCAAACCCCCACAGGGTCAAGTGAAGAAGCAAGATCTGCCCTGAAGTAGGGAACGGCATCCTAGAGGTTGGGGGCTTAGACTGGAAAAGTGGGGAAAAGGCCCTCGAGCACCAGCATCTGTCCCTCCCTGCTTATAGATCACGATTCCATGTGACCAGCTGCCCTGCTCCTCCACTGCCTTGCCTTTCTGCTATGGTGTGCTGCACCCTCCAACCCAAACGCCAGCATACACCCTCCCTGCCTGAAGATGCTTTCATTGGGCATTTTGTCATTAAAGATACTAAAACAGAGTTCATTTATATGCAATCCAGAAATAGAAACAATTGTAGTTTCTAGGTACTGGGGAGACAGAGAAATGAAAAGTGGGTTCTGGTGGACACAGGGTTCCTCTTTGGAGCAACAAACTTGTTCTGGAATTTGGAACCGTCAACAGCTGTGCAAGTCTATGAATTGTATATCTCAAAGAGGCAATTTCATGGTTATGAATTCTATCTCAATAAAAATTAATATTTTTAAGAGGTTAGCAACCACATAAGAGATTTTTGAATGCCCTAAAATTGGAAACAATGCAACATGAGAGGAACTTGATAGATGATTTTCTAAATTGGAAAACAGTCCAAAGATGTGCATATTGTTACTTTGTAAAGAGTAGTGAAGCTGAAAGGAACTATCCTCAAGCATCAATAATAAATACATTTCAATCAATCATGCTCAAAGAAAGGCAGAATTATCCTGCCGTCTGTGGGAAATTATATTATAGATTCATTGTCAGATGAAGAGGCAATGACAGTATTCAGCCGGGGATTATGGGGGAAATATTAGAGGCATGTCAAGAAAATAATAAAATCATCTTATTCTGCTGAGTTTTTATCATGTTCATTGTATTTGTCAGTTAAATGAGTCATTTGTTACATCTATTTTTGTTCTAAATAAAAACTTATTTTTGTGTCTCAAGAAGAGTTGTGGCGGAAGGAGGAGGTCTTCTGAGCTGAAGGTGGCAGTAGGCCTGAAGAAAGGTTCTGAATTCTTCTTTCTGAAAGCCAGAGGCAAGACATGAAGCCAGGTCCCCATTGTCTCTCTCATTGGCTCATCCTCCCTTCTCTTTTGGGTACAGACTCCAGGGCCACTAAGAACAAATATGGGAGCAGATGCCTAGGACAGATTACTCTAGGAAAAGCCTCCCTTCTATTCTTACTGTTTTCAGATATGGTCTGCTCAGACCCCCGAGTATGTCTCTCAGAGAGGTAGCCCTGCTAAGGCTTGCTCTGGCTTAATGCTCATGGATAGACCAGACTCCACTGAAGTCCATAGAGCTGCCTTAGATTGCAGTAAAATGTTCTGCAGTGTCAACCTGCTAATGCCGGAAATCTGCTTCAGTGCCTGGACTTAAATCCCACATCAACAACATTAACACCCTCTGTTGATAGCTCTGTTTGGGTTCTTTCCATTGTCTTGAGCATTTTCCTCCAAGATCTCATAGAAGAAAGAACTTCAAAACTGAATTTAAGATTTCCTGGGTAGTACTCTGGCTGTAATTAAACTTTCTACAATAATAATAATCTACACAATGACTTTCCTCTTCCTCCTCCTCCTCCTCCTCTTCTACTGCTTCTGCTGCTTCATTTTCTCCTCCTTCTCTACATCTCCCTCCTCTTCCTCCTATTTCTCCTCTTCCTCCTCCTCCTTCCTCCTCCACCCCCATCTCCTCTTCTTTCTCCTCCCTCCTTACGCTGTTGCAGTTCTGGAGACTGAACTCAGGGACTTGTGAAGCCTCATCTGCTCTGTCACTGAGAAATGTCCCCAGTCCTCAGGACAGGACCTGAAAATAGGGGAAAAGAACAATGTAAGGTAAGGAAACGGGGTCCATCTCCCATCTCAGAGGGTTCCTGAAAAGAAGAACACCTACCTATCACCTATCAATGAGGCAGATAAATGAACTAGAAGAGAGAACAGTGTTACCGTGCGGAAGGGTGGGGAGTGGCAGGTGAGGCTGATGAGCAGACATTGGAGGTGTTGGATGGCAGCAATGCCTCCTCATAACACAGGAGTTCTCATTCAGGTCGCATCCCTTAGCAACCCACACAAACGCCGGCCAGAAATGTTCAAATCAAGGACACAAGATAATTTCAACTTCCCTACCAGCCTCCTCCTTTATGATCTCACCCAAAGACTCCGGGACAGGTGATTGCGAAGAGATGGATGTCTGGGGATAAATGTCACTGGTCCCATTAATTCTCCAGGTCACTCTGTAGACTTCCCCTGTGCTGAGATAGATGGCTTGTGCTCTGTTCATAACAATGACCATCAAACCTTAGCATTTGCTTAACATTTTGCAATGTGTATGAACCTAGATCGTCGTCACTCCATGAAGAAGGACGATGGTATAATTAGAACTATACGGAAAAGACAACTGAGATCTGGGGAGGTAAAGTGAGCCAGCTAAAGTTCTCCACATCGTACATATGTCTAGGGCCGAGACATTGTCTCAGTCTCCCTAAGGTAAATAAAATCTCTTTGGGACCAAGGAGCTGGATTAGTCTAACTTGGGGTTTCCCTTGGATGGATTCTTTTCATATATGAAAACAGGGAGTGCCTTCAGATGCAGTTGTCCTTTGGGGAAGGACCACACCTCTTTTCTTTCGTAATGACAGGTGCAGTCAGCCCACCTTATACTTGAGATCCAAATTCAGCAACCAACCATGTATGGACAGAAAGTATCGAGGGAGGAGGAAACACTCTACGCTGACCATGTCCAGACATTCTGATCGTTCTTCCCTCAACAACAGCTCTGACCGCTGACAGCACATTTCCCCCGAATTCAGTCTTAGAAGTGATAGACGTTATTTAAGGACTGTAGAGGTTGTATGCAAATATTATGTCGCTTTGTATAGGTGACATACTGCTTCTTGAGTATCCATTGGGAAGCCTGGAATGAGTGCCCTGTTCATAGCAAGGGATGAGTACACACATTTCTTCATAAATCACTCTTCAGGACCCTGAATCACACAGGTCTCTCATTTAAGAACTACGAATTTTTATAAGACGTTGCTACTGGTCAACTCTCTTTTCAGATCATGGCATAAATGGGCCTTGTCCTTGAGCCTACCTCATCTCACCCAGAACAGGTTAGGAGAGACTAAAGGAAAGAAGATCATGCAGAGGTGTCGGTATGAAAACCTCGGCAAGCTCAGTAGCATGGAGAGACCCATTCCTCAGTCCACTCCTGACTCTGAGCCCACATTCTTTCTCCCACCCTACATGGGGCAGTGGCGGGGTCTCTGGCACCACCATGCAGGGCTCAGAGGTCCTGCAGGCTCAGTTATGTGAAAATAATAAAAAGTAGTTTCTTTTGAGGCAGAGAAGGAAGAGAGTTAAAATCATCCAGATCTCAACAGCAAACACAAATAGGGCGGCAAGCCCTGTATCCTGGACAGAAGCAAGACATGGGGTGTATGAACCTCACATTCAACTCTCAAGAAATTCCATTTATGAAATATATAGAAGAAGGTATGGGCTGTTGTTTCATGTTATTTGAAAATGTTTGCTTAGTCATCTCCTAATTGCTATTTTTCAAGTGCTCTTCCTCTTCCTCCTCCTTTTCTTCATCTCTTCCCCATCCTCCTTCTTTCTCACTGCCTCCTTTCAAACTTCAAATGCTTTTCTTCCCCCTCTCTGTTTATCTACCTACCTACCTGTCTGTTTATTTATCTATGTAACTATCTAGTCCATACTACCCGTGAGCACTCCTGTATCACGGCTGATACGCACTAAAGATATTACAAATCTGGGAGTTAATTCAATCTAAAGTAAAGCAGGGGCAGAGATGCTGCGATATTCCACACCTACATCGTCCCACCCATTCAACTCTCCTCATCTCTTTCTATTCATTTGTTCATCCATTTGTGCCTAAGTTATTAATAACCTCAATGATGTTTCAGGATCTTTGAACTAGCACAACCTCCTTTCCCAACAACTTCTAAGTCTATAGGGGGAGCCAAATATGTGAGCTACACCATGTGCCAGACACCTCAGGAAGGTTTTAGAGTGACAGAGACAGCTTCAAGTGATGAGCGTGACCCCAAAAGGTAAGTCGGGGTTGACCAGGAGGATCTGATGATGAGAAGATGCCCCAGGTTGGAAAAAAAAAAAACATGGTGGAAAGTCAGAGTCTGGGAGGATCTGGACTGGATCCAGAATTGTTTCTATTGCTGTTTGAGACCATAAAGAAAGAAAATCATCCCTTTATAGATTGTGTTTTGAGTTGCCCAAGATAAAGTTAAAATGGGCATACTGAAAGAAAAAAAGTCATGGAACACAATTATTAGAGTGGAAATAAGTAGAACATATAGGGATAGTGACTGAACTAACCAATAGTGATGTGGTTGATTTGAAGAAGACTTCTACCCTGGGAGAAGGAGAAAGAGGAGGGGGATGGGGAGAGAGGAGGCAGGGAAGAAGAGGAGGAGAGGAAAGAAGAGAAGCGAAGAGAAGTCCTAAGCCTCCTTCTTGCCATGGAGACAGCGTTTCAGAAAGAAGCTCTCAGAGCTGAAGCTGTAGCTTGCTGGTAGAGTGCTTGCATGTCGGAAACCCTGGATCTCATGCCCTAGGCCATATAGGCAGGATATCAGCATTTGAGAGGCAGGGGCATGAGGATAAGAATTCAGTGTCATCCTTGGTTACAGAGCAAGTGCCAGACCAGCCTGGGCTACATGATACCCTACCCCACCCCCAGAAAAGGAAATTGCCATTATCGCTGACATGTTGTCCTTTTACTGCTGTCCTTAAAGAAGAACACTGTCCCCCCATGTCCAGGAAAAATAATTCTCATATTCATCCCATAAAATGGAACCTCTTTGAAGTTAAGAAACTCTTTTAAACATGCTAAAACACGTTTAAAATCACAAGTTATCAAACTTAAATTGCCTTCCCAACTTAGGTATGGATTCGTCATAATGAAGGGGCATGCATGAGTCTGACTGAGACCAGAGAGAAAGGAAAAACAAGAAAGAAACCCTTAGCGGGGAAGAGCAGAATTCAGGGGTTAAAGGGCACAGGAAAGCTTGGGGTAAACAAGAAACCAGCAGCCCTTGGTCCAGGCAAGAGGGAGGTGGGGGTGTGCTGGTGGCAGGTTTTGCCTGCTCCGCTCCCATCCCCTTCGAGTGCAGGAACTCTTCCCACAACATCCGACTTCCCAAGTCATGGGATGCCAGTAGCTTAAGCAACCTTAAGCAATCGGCAGTCATCTTCAGCATCTCATGTGCGGTCTCCAAAAGTCACTCCAACAACCAGGAAAGAAGGGCTGGCTTCCTAATTAGGTCAAAATGAAAGCTAAGGCTTGGTATGGTAACATGTTCTAGACTGCATGGTTCAGGGGCAGCCGGATTGAGCTTAAGTAGAGTCTGATTTTCTGTGGAGCACACACTCTTACTACAGGCACATTGTCTACAGGACCAAATCAGACTGGGGCACCATGCACACAGACATAACCAGAGAGGCGTAAGTATTTGAGGTCTTGAAAAATGTCCCTGGGAAGGATGACTACCTTCTGCCTGTCTGAATCAAAAACTATCATGTCTTTGTCTTCTCAGAGGAGTCTGAGCAGTCTAACACTCCTCAGTAAAAAGAAATCAAATTGTGTTCAATTCCCTAGGGCTGGCGTAACAACGTGGATGGCTCGGTTCTTATGCCTTGGGGAAGTATGAGCAGCGCCTGGATCCTTCTGACAACTACAAAGCAGAATCCTTCCAGGGCTTGCCGCCAAACCTTGGTGGCCCTTGGCTTGTAAATGCATCCCTCAGCTACACGATCTCACATGCCTCAGTCCAGATGTTCTCTTTTTATAAGAACGCCAATCATTGCATTACAGCTAACCCAAACGACCTCATTTTCTACCTTTAGGACCCTGTAAAGACTCTACTTCCAAATAAGGTATGCAGTATGAGGATTAGAACACCAGCATGTCTTTGTGGGGGGGACACAGTTCAGCCCGTGACACAACTCAGCTGTGAACGCTCAGCCTGGCTTCACTTCCTGCCTGCCACCAGCTCCCACCTCACTCTCCTCTCCCGAGGCCTCTGAGATACTCTGGCTCATCTGGACGGTGTTTGGCACCCTTCCATCTCCAGCCTTGAACCTCACCCCACCCGAGCTCCATCTCTATTGTGCGACCCACCAGATTTCTGTGAGTTACAAGGAAGCTTCCCTCCGGGCAAGTTGCCAGCTTCACGTTTCTTCCCACTTGTTAACGGCATCTGGCAGCTCCTCTCTGACAGCCCCATGCCGCTCCGTCATAATCAGTGCTTTGTCTGCCGTTTCCGGTTGGGTATTGAGATGCAGCTGGGGACAGTCAGCCATTTCCCCAAAAGCTATTGTGTGCTTAAGAAGAAAAATTTAAGTCTTTGAATTGGCCACCATCCCTCCGCATGGAAGCCCAAACCATATCCACTTTGCCTCACTTCACCCTGCAGATGTTCCCCCGAGGTGAGGGACGGCGGGAAGCGGTAACAATATGGTAGAATATCTACTACTTTCCTAAGTGCTTTCCCATCACCATGCCTTAGAAATAAATAAGGAGGCAAGCATCCCCCTTGGGCAGATGTGGCAACTGAGGCTAATCGCTGAGGCTAAATAATTAGTGCATAGTCTATGGAACCAGGCATCATCCTACACTGTCACGTCTCTCCCATTCCCAAAGCCTGGAGAAAACTCATTCGGATGAATGCTGAGTGGGGAGGATCTTACTTCCCGGACTAGAAGAATGTTTCTTTGTTTCCCCAGAGTCTTTGCTCTCACTGTTCCTGCTACCTAAAATGTTTCTCTAAGCAACATTATTCTCCCTTCAGGTTTCAGCTCATAAACTGAAACCCCTGGGAAGCATACCTTGGCGCTTCATAAGGTCTCCCTGGACACGCTCTCCTATAATCCCTAACTTCCATGAACATGTGTCATATGTAACTCTATGTTTAATGGCCTTGCCCTGATGGCCAAAGCAGGAACCTCACATCCCCAGTCCCCAGCGTTCTAACACCACTGCTTCTGTCCCTAGCAGATAGCTTTGTAAATGCCTGCCAATGAAGGAAGAAGGTTATCATCTCCTGCCCCAACAAAGCTACCCCTTCCTCTGAGGTATGGTTTCTTTCCCCATGGTCTTAGTCAGGATTTTTGTTGCTGTGAAAACACAGCATGACCATGGCATCTCTAATGAAGGAAAACATATAATTGGGGTGGCTTATATTTTCAGAGGGTTAGTGCATTGTCATCATGGTGCGACATGGGGGTGTGCAGGCAGACACGGTGCTAGAGAATGAGCTGAGAGTACTATATCTTGACTTGCAGGTTACAGAAAGTGGTCTGAACTGGGCATAGCTTGGGCATAAGAGGCCTCAAAGCCCATCCCCACAGTGGCACACTTCCTCCCACGAGGCCACACCCACTTCAGCAAGGCCACACCTCCGAACAGTGCCACTCCCTATGAGCTTATGGGGGCCAATTACATTCTAACTGCCATACCCACAAACCACTTTGCTTATAATTGAAATAATATTGATGCAAGAGTATACCTCAAACAACAAACACAAGGCATGCCCATAAAACTACACACTAAATAAAATACATGAAATTGGGACCATCAGAAAATTCTGCAATAACCAACAAGCTATAAATTATCACTTATTAATAGCGGTGTGATTGTTTTTCTCCTCTTCTAGGCTTCTCTTGAGAACACTGATTTTATACCATCCCCTGAGTCTCCTGGAACTATGTACAATAAAAGTCTCTAGAATTAACGAACTCATTAATAAATGCATCTGATAATGAAAGTGGGAAATATTTCACAAGTCCAGAAAATCTTGCCCAATAAGCTATTTTGGTCAAACAGAGTTGTGGCTTTTTGTAATATAAGAATTTACATTAACAAGAGACTACTTCAGGAACCCATTAGGATAAGAAATTTTCTGTTTCCAGAAAGACCTTTGTGCAGTTTGTAAGTCTAGAACTCCCGTGTGCTATTTTTCTATTATTATTGTAGCGTTATTAGCATATTGAACCCAAAATCACACCAGAAATAGGAATATACAGTCCCTGAGGACTTAACCATTGTCCATCATCAAAACTATTTTTGATATTAGTATTAGACACTGTAGCTTCAGATACATAGAAATATGGCCTTGGAAAGAGAAGAAACTTTGAAGTTACACTGACCTGGATCTTCTAGGACCCAGGTTTCTCTCACTTTGCACATCACAGAATCACTGAGCAGAGGTGGGAAACTTGCTGACTCTCTAGGTAGGAGAGGTGGTACCTAAGGTTCTGCATTTCCAGCAAGCTCCCTTGTGATGCTGGACCACTGACCATGCTTTAAGTAGAGATAATCTGGAGTCTTCACTTACAAAGGTAACAATACCTTCATATTACATGGTCTTGGTAATCTACCTGCTTTAGAGGATGTTATAACCTAGAATTATGATTAAATATGAACACCATCTTAACTCCATCTATTTCCACTTTAGTAAAATAAGAATTTAGGCTTCTAAATTCTGGAAAAGGATCTTTTATTATTATTAAAAATTTCCACCTCCTCCTCCCCTCCTGTTTCCCTCTCACTCCCCTCCCCCTCCCTCTCCAGTCCTAAGAGCAGTCAGGGTTCCCCGCCCCGTGGGAAGTCCAAGGTCCTTCCCCCTCCATCCAGGTCCAGGAAGGTGAGCATCCAAACAAACCAGGCTCCCACAAAGCCAGCACATGCAATAGAATCAAAACCCAGTTCCTGCTCCTGCACTAAGGCGACCCACCCAGAGGGGTGAGTGTCTCCCAGGAAAGAATCTTTAAAAGACTCTGTTTCCTTATCTCTTCTCCAGAATAATATATCTAACTGGAAAGTTCTTGTACAGACAGCTTGCCTACTTCCAGCCTCCACTCTCAGAACAGCAAGCATCTCTTTTGGACAAATGGAATACGTCTAACTAGTTCCTACTGATTACTGCTATTCTCTTAACTGTTTTGTAATCAAACGTAATCTGACGGGTCTGCACAGATGGCTCAGTGGATAAAGTACTTGCATTAGGACATAATTCTGATACTCATGTAGAAAGCCCCACATTGGGGTGCACATCTGTAACTCAATCACTGGGAAACAGAGACAGGTAGATTCTGATGACTCATTGGCTACTCAGCCTAGCTGAATGAGGAAGCTCCAGGTTCACTGAGAGACAGTGTCTCAAAACACAAAGCAGAAAAGTGTTTGAGAAAGACATCCAGATGACAATCTTTAGCCACCACATGCATACACACACACACACACACACACACACACACACACACACGCAAACAGAATACTGTACCCAAAGATTATTTTTGTTTTAAGTTAAAAATTGATCTGAAAATCCTTTAATTATGCAATCAAGATTCATTTCAAAACTTATTACTATACATATACAAACTCTAAAGCCTGAGTCTGTGCATTATTCCTGCTCTTAGTGTATGAACAGTAAGAACTGGCATTCCTAAAGAGAAGGCTAAAGAAGAGGAAAACTAAAATGTAGACATTAATGAAGTTTGCACATGATGGTGGGCTCCTTGCTTGGCCATTCAAAACTACCCATTTTGTGACTTACGTCTGATTCTCTGGCCTTTCCTTCTATACTGGCCATGTCCTAATCCTTTCAGTCCAAGCCACACTACTTTCTGACCCTGACCAATATGCCTCACCCTCTGGATTAATTACTTGCCCCTTTGCTCTGGCAAAACCCCTGCCAAAAGCAACCTAAAGGAGGCAGGGGTTACTCTGATTCGTGGATTGAGGGTGCAGACTGTCATGACGGGATGTACAGCCTCAGGAGCATGGAGCAGATGCTCACATCTTGCCTGCAGTCATGAAGCAGAAAGAGATGAAAACTGGTCCCTCCCTGATTGCTCTTTTTAATTCCACGTGTGATCCCAGCCCATAGTTTGGGGCTACCGACATTCAAAGCATGTCTTCTCTTTCCATCAAACATCACTGGGAGTGCCCTCACAGACATGCGCAGAGGTGCATCTCGGGTGGGGGGGGGAGAGAATTCCATATTTAGTCGCCCTGACAGTGAAGTTCAAGGGTCACACTCTTCTCTACTCCAGGCCCTTGGATAACACTGCTTCCATCACCTCGAATGCTCTTCCTCATTTGTCTGTCTCCCAATACTTACCTCAGACACAAGTGTGCCTATTGAGTGTTTCCCAACTCTTCCAACCCAAAATAACTCTTTCTTGTTCTTCTTGTCCCACCACACTCCCTACGGGCAACCACAGCATGTGCGTATTTATACTCCATTTGTAATTACTCCAAGACTGAGTTCCCTGAGTTAGGGGCCACACCAGGTTTGTTCTTCGTTGAATGAATGAATGAATGGATAACAAACGAGTGAATCTCTGTGGTAACTCTGTGCGTATCCCTCCAGCTCTATCATTACACTAATCAGCCTAAGTACCAACTTAGTGTTGTCTGTGTTTGTCTGTCTCTTTCTCCACCATACTCTGCTGTTGAAGACAGGACCTGGGCCGTTCACCGCCATCCCTGTCAATACTCAGTAAGTATTCGTTTAATGAATATGAGATGCTTGGAGTCCGAGGCAGATAAAGTTCCTTCATAATATAAAGGATAAGATTTTTGAAAGGCTGTCAAGCCCATGTGTTGATTTACAGAGGAAATTATCATGACGGCGTCAACATCTCCAGCCCTCGCAGATCAGTTTCCTCAATTACGTGCACCCAGAACGGGGTGCAGCTGCTTGAGAGACATGACAACAAAGAGGTCCCCTCGGTCTGTTCAAAGGTCTTCAAGATATTTTTAGTTGACAAACACCATGTGTCACTCATCAGACGTCCCATTAAACCAAATTGTACAATTTGTTACACGTTTCCCATATTAATTGCAAAAGCTCTCAATGTAACTTTGTTCTCCTGGGAATGGAGCCTAGGTCAAAAGAAGGCATAGCGTAGATGCGTGCTGGAAAAATATTGGCCCCATAGCTTCACTTATCTATCTATCTATCTATCTATCTATCTATCTATCTATCTATCTATCT